AACCATTAGTTCATAGGTCAGTTTCAAGCTACTGTAGGCTCTTAAGAGAAGGCTGGAGCCATAGGCATGGACAACAACACTTCGCACAATTCTTTTTTTATTTAAATTGTTCACCTATTTATACAGTAATTAAAATGTTATAATACCATTTAAACTAGTCTTAAGGGTAGGACTTAATTCTAGTACTATTGAGATATTGTGTCCCCAAGATAGGAGTAAAAGGAGGAGTAATATATAGTGGGGTCGCATGATTTGCTCACGTCGTCTCGTAATCGCGAACACATATTTGGCAGGCACAAAGAGTTTATACCTCGGTTTTTGGCATCGAGGAGTAATCGATGTTGTTCAATAGGGTCGTGGGTCAAGGCAGCGATACAATCTTTGCATTTAAGCCCTGCTGCTGATTTTATCTATTTATTTATTCATTGCATTTTGATACACGGGAGCCGTGAGGCTATAGTATAGGTCAATTCAGGTACAAAAAAGCTTTTTTTAATCAACTAAAAAGTATTAAATTTCTAAGATAACAATCCGAAAGCACAGAATATTGTCTACAAATTTCGAGAGAGGGCTAGAATAGAGGGCTACCTCAGTAGTACCTCCACACAATAACCTACAGGTACATGGACAAATGGCAGCCAATCAAAGATTTCTCCTCCGGATGGAGTTTAAATTTTAATTTTAAAATACCTCGAAGAACCAATTCGCACAAGGCATTCAGAACCAATTTTATGCTGTAATTCCGGAACAATGCCTTCTCGGGCAAAACACTTAAACGCCTGTTTTTTCTCTCAACATCTGTTTCTACATATGTGAAAAATTTTGCTACTGGATTTTTTTGAAATATTGACTGCTTTTGAAAATTTGAAATACAAAACACATTTTGAAATAACTTAAATAATTTTATGTTGACCGGTGAATCGGTGATTTTGTTTGCTGCATGGACTCCTTCAACTTGCTGAAGTTGGCGCAGTTCGCCAAAAATGGTCGGCTGATCAGTCAGCATCAAACACAGAATCATCAGGATCATCTTCTGTCTCACAGAGATCGGAAGCTGCAATAGTTTCTTTCGTTGCCGTTGAATTTATCATTTTGTCCGGATGTTTGAACGCACTGGAGCAATACAAGATGGAAATGTTCTCCTGAGGTATGCAGTTACCATTATCCTCTTCATGGAGCTTGAAATGGCACAGAATTCTTTTATATGCAGCTTTAAAGTGGCGGCTTGGTGGGTTGTTGCTCCACCCACCCATTGCTCTGATAAGCCCAAGAAATAATTCCACATGATCCCGGTGTTGGGACAACCCTGTTCGGGAGGCCCCAGGGTTTAGAGGCTTGCCCCCGACCTGGAGGCAATTTTTTAAAAAAAAAACAGCAATTAGTAAAAAAAAGGGGGGAAATATTTTTTAAAAAAAATTGAAATACCTAAATTTGAATATTTTGAACACAATTTTGAACTATTTTGATACAATTTTGAATTATTGACTGCTTTTGAAAATTCGAAATACGAAACGCATTTTGAAATAACTCAAATAACTTAAATAATTTTATGTTGACCGGTGATTTTGTTTGCTGCATGGACTCCTTCAACGTGCTGAAGTTGGTGCAGTTCGCCAAAAATGGTCGACTGATCTGTCAGCATCAAACACAATCATCAGGATCATCTTCGGTCTCACAGAGATCGGAAGCTGCAATAGTTTCTTTCGTTGCCGTTGAATTTATCATTTTGTCCGAATGTTTGAACGCACTGGAGCAATACAAGACGGAAATGTTCTCCAGAGGTATGCAGTTACCATTATCCTCTTCGTGGAGCTTGAAATGGCACAGAATTCTTTTAGGTGTGTTCGTGTTGGAGAAGGTGCGTTGGAGAAGATTTCGTTTTCTTCCTTCGAAGGGGTGTTAATTCCGGGCTCGGTGGTGAATCAAGACTTCCATCATCCTGTGGGGATTCGGATTCGTGTTTTCTTTTCGCTTTCTTCACGAAGGCTTCCACATTCAGGGCGGACACACTGGGAGGGGGGGGGGAGTTTATAGTCTTCCAAGTTGAAGTCGGTTTTTCTTTTGCATCCGAGGAGGATTCTCAATTCACCTGCAATAGATTTTAGATTCATGCCTGTCTTTTAATTATGCTCAACTTGTTTTAATTTTAAGTAATCCTTTTGACTGAAACATCCAAGTAAAACTACTGTGCGTTTTTTTTTTTTTTTTTTTTAAAAACAGCCTCTTTTTGTTTATACTCTTGTTATCTCATTCTCATCTCCAATCCAACGTTTACTTCCAATCCAATCCAATTTACTTTAATTGATATTTTAAATTTTCTCGTTACAATCGTTACAATCCAATTTACTTTAATTGATATTTTAAATTTTCTCGTGATATGTGTGTTTTTTACCTACTGTGGATTCTTTCTGGATTTGAAATGGCTGCTGAACTTAGCGACTACGAAAAACTGAGATTGAAGAATATTGCAGAGAGACATACATCTTTTGATGATTACATGAAATAAAATGGTCTGCAGTCTTTTGACCTATCAAAGACTGGGAAAGAAGTAGCCAATATTGTGAGATCTGAACAGCGACAAAAGGAAAACGTATCTGAATCAACTCAAACAAAGAAATTCAAAGTACGAGCCAGAAAAACTTCTACTCCTCCCTGTTCTGTCCATGCGCGTCGTTCAAAACGATCCACAGTCAGGAGAGTGAAGTATTCAGAGTTAATAAATGAGAATGATGAAAACTTGAGCAGCAGTGTAGAGGCTGATCCAGATTACAGTTTCGAAGAGCCTGATGAGGATTATTATACTGAGTTGGAATTCAAACCTAAAAAGAGACGGATAGTGAGAAGAAGAGAATCTGATAACTGTCGAATCATTCTTTCACTTGAAGAAATCACTGATGAAATGCTGTCAAAAATTGCCCACAGCTCTAAAAAGAAATACTCTTCTGACCAAGGAAGCACCTGTCATCAGACTGTTTAGAAAAATCCGAATTATTTCGCGACGGTGGATATGTGATATGTAAGTTATAGTATACAATCTGGCAACAATGTTTTACGTTATGACGCCACCGATGTGCAGTGAGGCGTACCTTCATTCTTTGCCGTTTGTAGTGGGTATGTAAGATAAGACATGACATTTTTTTATACAAAAAGTACATAAAAAACATCAAACCACCCGGCAAATCGGGATACCTAATTATTCTGCCGGATCAGACATGAAATTAAATTCATTTGATGACAATAGAAGAAGGAAGAAATGATTTAAAAAAAAGAAAAACAATATCTATCTATAAGTAACATAAGTACATTGACATGAATTAGAACTAGAAAAACACGTTATTAATTACAACTAGAAAAAAACGCAATTTTAAAGTAACAGCAATTAAGCACAAAAAATGGGAGAAAAGTTAAAACAAGAAAAAGAAAATTTGAAATACATGAATTTGAATATTTTGAATACAATTTTGAATTTTTTAAATACAATTTAGAAAATTTTTGAAATAACTCGAATAACTGTGATGATTTTGTGTTGACCGGTGATTTTGTTTGCTGCATGGACTCCTTCAACTCGCTGAAGTTGGTGCAGTTTCTCCACATACCTCCTTTAAATTCTGCCACCAGAAGAGTTGAATAATCCTTTCTCCTTCCTGAGTTTTTTTTCTTCTTCTTCCCTTTAGTCAACTGTTCTTCTTCCTCCTCATCTTCGTATGTCCCCCATTTTTATTTGTTTCTTTCCTTCGGCTGCTAATTTTGGGTATAGTTTTTCTTGCCTTAAAACTCACCAAACTGCCTGAAACTAAAAGTCTTAAAACTCGTCAACCAATTACCTCTTACGAAAACCTTGATTGCTCTACGGCTGAATCTTTATACTTAATTGGAAGCAATTAATGGCATTGTTATTTTTATTATTATACTATCCCTTATTCTTTCAAATTTCCTGTTCTGCTCACGACATGTGAAAATTTGAAGTTGTGTTGGTAGTGTGGTTCGGTTCTCCGCTGGGGGGCCACGCTCAAGCGACAAAAAAGGGATTATCCCGATATCGGAATTCCACTTTGATCAAAATAATATCAAAATAGTAAATAATAATAACATGTAATAATAATAATATATAATAATAATAATGTATAATAATAATAATAATAATAATAATAATAATCGTCCCCACGCTGGGAACGAAGATGGTCGTGGATCGTCCCAGTGTATGGCACGACGGCCAACCAACAATACCAACCCTGCTCCAAGTGTTTCGTCGACTAGTCAGCCGACGACCAC